CAGAGTTTGCAGAGTGCCTTGGGCACTAAGTTGACCTTTAGTACAGCTTATCATCCTCAGACTAACGGGCAGTCCGAGCGCACTATTTAGATCCTTGAGGATATGCTTCGAGGTTGTGTCCTTAACTTTAGTGGGACGTGGGAGAGGCACTTGTCCTTGGTGAAGTTTGCCTACAACAACAGTTTTCAGTCTAGCATCGGTATAGCACCGTTTGAGGCCTTGTATGGCCGACCGTGTAGGTCTCCAGTATGTTGGGCCGAGGTGGGTGATACACCTTCGTTAGGTCCGGAGTTGGTTAGGGAGACGACGGAGAAAGTTGAGCTTATCCGTAGGAGGCTTATTACAGCCCAGAGTCGTCAAAAATCTTATGCTGACCGTAGGAGGCAACCTTTGGTATTTGAGGTCGGTGATCATGTCTTTCTAAAGATATCACCTAGGCGGGGATTGATGAGGTTTGGGAAGAGTGGGAAGTTGTCCCCTCGGTTTATTGGCCCTTTTGAGATCCTTGAGAGGATTGGCGAGGTTGCCTATCGTTTAGCTTTGCCGCCGCAGTTGTCCGGAGTTCATGACGTGTTTCATGTGAGTATGCTTCGGAAGTACGAGCCGGATCCATCCCATGTATTGGATTGGACCGACTTAGAGGTTGATGAGGACGCCTCGTATGATGAGAGACCGGTTCGGGTCTTGGATAGGAGGGATCAAGTCTTGCGAGGCAAGACCATCCCCTTGGTAAAGGTATTGTGGAAACATCACGGAGTGGAGGAAGCCACTTGGGACCGTGAGGCGGATGTCCGTGAGAATTATCCGGACTTGTTTGTTGATGTATAATTATGTATTGAGATTTTGTAATATTATTGAGCCTTAAGAGCATTGTATATGTCTTAAGTTGTGAAACATAGTGATGTTTTGGTTTATGGGAATGTTGTAGAACTTGCCTTAAAACTGGAAGTTTGTTTTAACATCTTGTATGTGTTAAATGTATTGTGGAAATGCAAGCATGATGTTAATGTTGCATGTATTATGGAATTGTGAAAAATGAGTTGAAATTGGTAAATTTCAAAGGAATGCATGTTGATAATGCAGGGTATTATGTATAATGTGATATGCCTCTTGAAAAGAGATGGGATTGACCGGTAACGGGTCGGATTGTTTAACATTATGTTGTAATATTGTTAGGAATGAGGAAAACTTGTTTTTGAAAACTTGTATTTAATTTCGGGGACGAAATTCTTTAAGGGGAGAAGGTTATAGCGATTCCGGTATTCCCTTTACTGTCTGTTGCATTCCAGACTCGGTTCCGTAGAGTTGGTAGTTGTATCTATCTTGTTGTCGTCCTTTAAATCCATTTGTTTGAGTTTTAGGATGTGTTGGGCTTGGTTGTTACAGGTTGGTAGAGCTTTGGCTCCCATTGTTGTTGCCCAGTTTTTGAGTGGTCCGCTCTAGCGGGTCATTTTGCGCTCGAGCGGGGTTTACACCCTTCTAGCATTTCGAGTCCCTGCAAAACTTCTGCAGGTGTGTTTTCTACGCTCGAGCGGGTTTATTGCGCTCGAGCGGGTTGCACTCGAGCGGGCTTGTTGGCGCTCGAGCGGGTAGTACCTCATTGGTGAAAGTTCTGGGAGATGAAAATCTACGCTCGAACGGACTGGTCTTTCGCGCTCGAGCGGGTGTCCTTTGTCTTTGTGTCTTGGCGCTCGAGCGGGCATTCTTGCGCTCGAGCGTACCCAGTTTTCTGTTCTTAACGCTCGAGCGTCCTGTTATCCGCTCGAGCGGGAGTGTCGTATATTAGTTGGCAGCTGGGCGTTTTAAAATCACTTTTTACATTCTCTCTCTCTCTCTCTCTAACTTTCTAAAAACACTTTTGAGAGCACCTCTCTCTAGGATCTCCCTTCTCTCTAGGGTTTGATCTAGTTAGAGTGTCTCCCTACCCTCCGGCCTTTGTAAAAAGTGTGTTGATCGTCAAGGGCTTCATTTTGATCCGAGAATCGTGGTGTTTGGAGCATTTTCACTTTCTTCTCCTTCTCCGTTAGAGCTCTAACTTCGAGGTAGGGATACCCTACTCCTCTTTATGAGCTTTGTCTTTGAATTTTAGCATTTTGATATGTTGGGGGTTGTTGGGTAATTTAGAGAAAGTTTGGGTCTTTGTGTAATTTTACAAAAGATGGGATTTTATTTATAATTAAACCTATATGCATGTTTGGCATAGAGAAATGATATAGATGATGAACTATGGATAAAAGTGGAACCTTGGGGTTGTTATGTTAATTATGGGAAAATGCCCTAATTAGTTGGATAAATTAATTTGTATAATTAATTTTGAGAAATGAGGAAGTGAATTGAGAGTATTCAATTGAAAAGATTATGGGATTAACGGGTGTAGTTGGATTCATTTAATCGCTCACCCAAGTTGAATGTTGATAATATATCCATTTGGTGCATTTATTTTCTATTTAGAAATAACTGTTTTGGGCTATCGGTGGAGGATAGTCTTGATTGTTGTAGACAATGCATGATGATTAGGCAAACTAAAACTAATCGATTGAGTATGCTATCGAATATAGCGGTTGGAATAATAAATCGACTTTATGTATTGGTTGTTTATATACATTGTGTGTGGGGGGAAGGAAATAGGGGATGTACTCCACGGTTTAGGGGAAGATAGGGGATGGACCTCTAAACCGGATTTCGTGTAACATTGATACAGCACTACAATGTGTATCAAGTGTTGATTATGGAAGTGTTTAAATTGATTTGATATAGCACTAAAATGTATATCGTTATCAATTGTGAAGTATAGAAGTATTTCTATGTTATGTTGATACAGCCCCAAAATGTGTATCGTTCGAATAGTATGGGAGTGGTTTATGTGTTATTGATACAGCATTAAAATGTATATCCATCATGACTTTCGAAAGTGTTTTTAAGATGAGTCTTATTCTCATTAAGTTATTTGACTAAGTGTTGAGCCTTGTTTTCAAACTCAAGGTTGAAAAAGAAATAAGAAATGAAATGTAACATGGACTTAAATGTCATGAAACTCAAATGTGATATAAGTGAGTGTATCGGTGTTGACCATCTATCAACTGCTAATCTTTTAGTCATTGTTCATAGCTGGTTTAGTGTATTTCTACTGAGCTGTGGCTCACCCTTTATGGGACATCATTTTCAGGTACAGGTAGCATGCCACCTCCAAGGACATAGCTTGGAAGGCTAGAGGCAGACAGATTGCTTTTGTTGTTTGCTTTCTTTTGATGTATTACATGTAAATTCAAGCCAAGGGCTTTATATGTATTGAGTTAGTACTCTTATTTTTTGTAACCAAGTGTTAACTTGGGAAGCTGTAAGCCCGTAGGGCACTTGCTTTTGTTGTTAACACGTAATACTTTTATAAGAACTACTCTAATTAATGGAAAGATGGTTGATTTCTTTTATGTCAATGCATGTCTAAAGTGATGGGTTTTACGTATTATTTTGAGGGCGTTACAACTTGGTATCAGAGCGTACCGGGTTCGAATACTTTGGGTACGTGGGAAGTGATTAGGATCACAATGGGTTTGTCTCGCTTGAATAGAGGGGAGGTGGGCGGGCCATTTTATAACGACTTTATGTTAAAAGCGTGTTTTCAAATCGCACAATCATTACCTGAAAGAGCTAATAATAACAGTGCTTTCTTAAGTAAAGGCGTGTTTTCTAACCACGCTTTCATAATTCTACTGCCTGAGCCAGAAATATGCGAAAGCGTGTTTTGTAAATACGCTTCAGCTTAGTTTGGAAAATTCGGCCAAACTAGGCTTAGTTTGGGAAAAGCCCCCGATCTTTCACTGCATATTCTATCACATACAATAAAGTAAGAGAGTGGGTAGGAATGAGTTCCTAGTATTCTTTTCTTATATTGGCTTAGATGTGGAAGCTTTTGAAAGGCGAGGGAAAATAAATAATAATAAGAAATGGAAATTTTTAGATGAAGTAACCAACACAAATTTTTCCTAAAATGAGAAATTTAAGACTTGAAAACTATGGAATTTACCCAAAAAGCGTCTTATAAAGATTATAACAAAAAGAGATTACAACAAACTTACGAATTCCGACCGTTGAGCCGTTTGTTATCAAAACATGAGTCTTTCAAATTTAATTAGCTGTTATTTAGATTACTTATTATCATTTTGTCATCTTCCAACTCAAACAATTGAAACGGTCGAAATAAGCTTAAGGTAACCTGACTGTCACTAACTAAACAAAACCAAAACCAAAACCAAAACCAAAAAAATGAATTTTTTTGAGAAATGTCCATTATTTCTTCTTATTTTCCTAGCCTAACAAGGAGAAGTAAGAAATTGATCTCCTCCCACTTCATTTTTCCCCGTCTTACTTTCAATAAATTTAAAATCCAAACATGAAGCATCCTGATTTGAGATCTAGATCTGTTGCTTTGTTATGTTTTTTGTTGTTTCTCTTCATGTCTTGTTGGCTTACTTGAAAACTAGTGATTTCTTTTCTTTTCTTTTCTTTTCTATTTTTTTTGAAACATATTATTAAGGAAAAACTAAACAAATGATATCCAAACCAGTGATTTCTCTTCTTCTCTGGCATTTTCTCATTGGTCTGTAATACTAAATTAATAGTCAGGTTCAGATTATTCTTTATCATTTTGTTACCTATAACTTGTTTGAGCTGTGATTGAGGCCTCGAATTTGAGGCTCGAAATTGCCTCAAATGCAATTTTTTTTTTTTTTTTCCTGGGCTAATACATTACAAATAAAATAAAATAAAATAACAATAATAATAACAAGCAAAGCATCAACCCAGCAAAAAATAAATAAATAAATAAATAAAAAAATAAATGGAAATTCGAGCCAAATTTGAGGCTCAATCTTTTTCCAACTTGTTTTTAGGGGATTAGCTTGAATGCTAGTGATTGATTTTTTGTTTGGAAAAGAAAACTAAGGGGGAAGATAAAAATTTAAGGCGAAAATTTTCTTTCAATATAAGTGGGGATCCAAGAGTGATAAAAATAGAAAATAATGATATATAACATTACAATGTACATCATATAGCATTTCATGCCTTCAATAGTGTGTCCTGCATTCTTTCATTGTAAAACCAGAAGAACAAAACCTGACTAATGTCCAAATCAATTAACTCATTGTAATAGTGCAAAAAAATGTTGCCATAAAACTCTTAATCAATTAACTTATTTTCGGCTTTTCAAGCCTAATACCGCTAGCAATTTTGAGAGGCCATGTATTGGTATGTCCGACTCTTCAGGGTGCTGGGACTCAGGACTACAGTATCATTGTCAATATGAAACAATATCTTCACCGAGAGCACACAACATAATAAAAAGAGCACTACTCAAATTTCTTTATCAAAGACAGGTCATTCAGCATTTTCTCAATGGCCTCATCATCAATGGCACGCCCTTTACTCTGCAAGACACAGAAATTCATCAGGATTAAACGAGAGATATAGAACAAAATATGTGCATTAAAAATTCACATTGGCGTTGCTCAGTGTCAGAGGGCCCTAACAAAACCATGAGAAACAACTCGAGGATCACTGGCTTCTGAAGATGCCCCAAGAACTAAAATTGGCTAGTGACAGCCTCATGACTTGTAAGGCATTCATGAAGCGTCAACTCGTGATGTGGGTAATGAGGTTAGGTCCATTATATTATCAAAGGCATGGTGTGTTGCGGAAAATGAGGTAGGCTGGCACTACTTACAGACTTACAATATTAACCCATGAAGCACAAATACTTATAGAATAGAGTCATATCTGTATCATACCCATATTGGATACTGATACTCCTTAGATACGCACGGCTATATCCAATGCTTAAAATTAATTTCTATAATTTTGAAAAGTATCTGATACTTTTCGGAAACTCTAGGTCACGTATCCCAACTATAATGAAATTAAGATTGTCATAATTATTGCATAGCTATAGAGTATAATTGTTAGCATATAAGAATAGTTTTTCAATGCTAAGCTTACTTTTTTAATACAAGAAAATTTCATAATGCTAAAATCGAATTAATATTTTTTTTTTAAATAAGCGAACTTATTGGATCTTAAACTAATGCCTAATTCCTAAACCATTTCTTACCATTCTTTGGGCTGATGAATAGTATAATACGATACTCACAAAAATAAAAAATAACAAATGTATCTTGGTTATAGCCGTATCTACTTTTTAGCTTTTATTGTATTGTTGTACCCATATTATATCGTATCATATCCATATCTATATCCATGCTTCATAGCCCTCAACGCTAGATGCAAGACAATAAAACCCATAGATCCTATGTAGGACCATGTTGCAGCTGAAGACTTCATGGCCCCTTGGACTGGCACAACCATGAGATCATTATGTGAAAACACACTGAGCTTAAAAAAACTTCATATGCCCTAATCCTGGTTTGCTCCAGGGGCAAATACAGGTGGTGCCCCAAGTTGAATTTTATTGGCTAAACCAGTAGGACCTACCCCTTTGTGTCACTTTTTGAAAGACAAGTGTCTGCGCGGCCTGGAGCAATGCTCCAGGCGCACCAAATAACTTCTCCTAATCCTGACCCAAATAGTGATTATTATGTACAGGAGTGCAGCTAAACCCAAAGGAGAAAAGCCACATGCCGATGAAGGCACAATTTCACTGACCTTAACAATGCCCCAGGCATCTTGGTCTGAGGCCTCCATAAGAGACTGACATGGCACCTTTCAAGAAGGGCAATAATCATTATTGATCTATCATAAACACAACTTGATACATATCATTTTAGCAAGTAGTAAAATCAAATCCCCAATCATCAGTCTTCCTAGATGCAATGTTTGCACTCTTATGTTTAAACAGCTTTTGCACCCTCTGCAACTCATTTGAAAATGACCAAACTCCAAATCTACACCAGTAACTTTCGGATACTAATCTAGATTGAGCACTGTGAGTATGAAATGATTCTAGTGCTCACCATTATGGGTTATAATCTCTTCAAAGTGGAGTCCACAAGATGTTGAAAACCAATTAGATGTTGCAGTGTAAAAAGTACAAAATATCGCAATAAACACAGAGGTCATATAAGGTGAGATTCTTTTGTACAATTTTACAAGCGATTAACTGAAGGGGGAAAAAAAAATTAGCAACCAAACTATAAACTTGAACCAGTATAAGCATTAACTTCCAACCAAAAAAATATGCACCAACATATATAGTAGTGACCTTACAATAAACATGGTAGATTAAATGCAGCCTGCATTATTAGTTGGGGATTCCAAAGTTTTTGTTTTTGACAGACTAAACATGTAGTGGTTTAATTAGAGAAGAATAAATTAATTGTTCTTAATCAGCCACAAATCTCCATCATCTTGTCCTTCAAGAAAAAGGAAATGGAAAATTTTATTTTTAAGAGGTTTCAGAAATTGGAACTCTCTTCTGAAACTTGACTATGGACAATGTCAGAAATTTGTCAAGTGGACATGCTCTAACACATGCTGCTGACATATGTTTTGCCAATGTAAGAAGTGTACAATGTCAGCTATCAGTGCATCATCTAATGTTATTCCAATAAAACCTCAAGTTAAAGTAATAGCATAGTATAGGCTAAAGCGAAAGGTACAAGTGTCACTGAATAAAATACCTTGATCGATGGGACCATAGCAGTAGCTTCCTCCACAGTTTCAGGACAAAGATTTCCAAGGACGCAAAGCTACATCATAAGTCGAGAATGAGGCTTACAAATATAGGTTCTTTATATGAGGTTTTCAATATATATATGCATTTCAGCTGATTGGGTAAGTACCTCAAATTCAGCTAACTGATATCTACTAAGGATTCTGAAAAATGGTTAAGATTCAAAATTCAGCTAACTGATATCTACTAAGGATTCTGAAAAATGGTTAAGATTCAAACTGCTGGTGTGAGATGCAACAAATTTGAAATAGAATAGGAAAAAGAAAAATATAAATAAAAAAACAAACAAGAATTGATATAGATATATATGAGAAAAAAAAAAAAAAGCAATTCAAGTTTAAGTATACAAACAGAAAACAAGATTTCTAACAGAATGAGATTGGCCCTTTATCATAATAGCTTAAGTATTCAAATTACTTCCAAAAAAAAAAAAAAACCTGAAGTATTCAACTTTACAACACTAAACACTTGAACCGTTTAATAAGAGAAATGAATCAAGAAAGAACGGTGTTCATCCATATGTCCGTAACTGCCATGCAAAAATATACAGAAATAAAGTTGCATAATTTAAATTTTAAATAAGGATACTCTCGAGCTTGTCTGACAGAATCTGGATTCTTATAGCGGCTAAAGCGCTTCACATACTGCAGTGACTTTTCAAATACTCTGAAAATGGAAGATAACCAAAAGTCATTACATTTGATGGACTGATAGTTTGAACCCGCATTTTAAATCTCATATTTATGTGAAATCTTCATCATTATGTCGACAGGTTATCTGGCTTGATCTATTCATTAATCTGGAGCTAATGTTGTGAAAACAAAACTAAAATGAAAAGAAATAGTCCACAACCAACATATGATTGCAATATTTCAATAACCATTAACAATTTTTTCTCTCTTTCTTGGAATCAATGTGAATAAGATTTTTTCTCTAGAATTTACAACATAGTGCTCTGCATACACAAAAACACATAATAGCTTAAAAAAGAGAAAGCCTACAGTTTAAAATGCCCAAAAATTTCTAAGACAGGAGTTACAGTTGTTTCAAATGTCATTGCATCAAATGCAACAAAATTATGTGTTAACCAAAAGAATTGGAGGTAAGTCCTAAGACAAGAAAAGAAATGATGCATTCTTTAAGGAAATCAAAAGATTAACAAGTTCCAGGTCACATTGTTATCCAGAAGAAGCATTCTGAACTTAAAAATCATCAGAACTAGGGATCTAAGGGGTTGCTGATTATAATTTCTATAAGTCTCAAAGGCCCATCGTGTTGACTTGCCAATACAAATTATAATTAAATTTTTAAGAATAAAGAGTGATCTTATAAAACCATATTGCATACATATATTTTGTTTGATGAGATCAACTTAGGTCTCATTTGTCAACTATACATTTTAGCCAAAAAGCCAAAAAGTCACTATAAGTTATTACATCACTTTCTCTACTTTTCTACATATCTTTTTGTAAAAAGTCAAAAAGTTACTAAAATAGCATGTTTCCAAATGAGGCCTTAGTATCAAGTATCAAGTTTGGTACCAAATCAGAGTAGAACAAAGGACCCACAAGGGCAACTAGAACAGTATAACAAATTGTATGCAACTCAGAAAGAAATAACTTTTAAGAACTAAAATATTATATAGCATTGTATTGGGGTTACAGAAAAATAACAAAACTAAGCCTTGAGTCGGCATTGGATAGAGTTCTTAAAAGACTTTGATTTGGTACCAAACTTAGTTTTGATTTGGTTACAGAAATAACTTTTGTTATTATATAACAAAACTAATATTGCATAAAATATTATATAGCATCAAATAGGGTCGGCTGCATGAATCATTCTTCTCCACTCGACTCTATCCAAGGCCATTTCGTTAGTCAAATTAAAGAGATTTATATATCTATTTACTACACTACTCCACGTCAATCTAGATCTACCCATTCTCCTAACACTACCATCTACCGTCACTGTATCGCATCTTTTCACTACTGCCTCTGTTGGTCTTCGTTGTATATAACCAAACCATCTCAATCTGTTCTCTCTCAATTTATCTTTATCAGTACTACTCCTACCTATTCTCAAATATATTCATTTCTAACTCTATCTTTTCTATTCTTGCCACACATCCACCTTATCATCCTCATCTCAGCAACACTCATCTTATTTACATGTTGTTTCTTAGTTGCCCAACATTCCGTCCCATACAATATCGCTGGTCTAACAGCCGTTCTATAGAACTTCCCTTTTAATATAATGGATACCCGTTTATCGCACAGCAGTGTTGTGAAAAGCGCGCCTAGGCGTGCACCTAGGCGCAAGGTGCATCGAGTAGCAGCTTGTGCGCCTGAACTGGTACTAGGCGAGGCGTGTTAAAGAAGTCGCACGCCTTAGGCGCGACTAGAAGCAGGCGAGAGAGGCGCAAGGCTCGCGCCTAGGTGCGATTGATGGTTTACGCCCTAATTTTGATCAAACGGCTATGGTGGTGTGTGTTCGAATGGCTCTAACCACAGATGATTACAACTTATATACAATACGACTTTGACTGAAATGAAATATGTCTGAAACGAAATCCCTAATCTATGTCGACTTCAAAACGAAATACGACTTCCTCCCTCGACTTCAATTCGACTTCAACTTGGACTGGGCTACGACTTCGACTTCGTCTTCCAGGTGCGCTACGACTTCCAGGTGTGTGTTCGAACCCCTAATCTGTGTCGTCTATTTTTTTTTTTCTTTTCTTTTCTCTTTCGGTTTCTTCTTCTTCTTCTTCTTCGACTCAGGTGTTTTTTTTTTTTTTTTTCAATTATGCCTTTGAGTCTCTGTTAAAAAATAAATAAATAAATAGAATAATTTTAAAAAAAAAACATATTACATTAATTAGAATAATTTTTTAAAAATAAATAAATAGAATAATTTCAATTATGCCTTTGGTCTCTTTTTACATTACATTATTTTCTAAATTGACACGTTACATTACGTTACATTAATTATTTTTTAAATTAACACATTACATTACATTATTTTCCATTACATTACATTACACTCACTAAGTGTAATTTTCCATTACATTATTTTCTATTACATTGTATTAATTAATTTTTCATTAATTAACACACTGTCTGTGCTAATGTGTAATTTTTCATTACACATTATTTTTCATTACATTACACAATTAATCACACTTACATTACACTGAAATTGTTTTCCATTTGTTAAATTTGTTGTGTAGAAAATGACATCGAAAAGTAATAGGAAAGATCCGGCATGGCAACATGCCCATTTGGTAGAGGAGAATAATTTAAACAAGTTTGAGTGTAATTTTTGTGGTAAAGTATCAAATGGAGGTGTTTATCGGGTGAAACAACACCACGCGGGAGGTTATAGGAATGTCACTGCTTGCCCGAAGTGTCCAGCTCATGTAAGAGAGTAGATTAGAGAGTTCATGTCAAAAAAGAAGACAAAAAGAAGAAATGAACATGTTGCCTGATTTTGATGATACGGACATGGAAGATGAAGATGAAGATGAAGATGATGGTGTTGTTGAGATCAATGTCAATCAACGCTGTAAGTTGACAAGTAGCAGCCAAGGTTCATCCAAATCCAAAACCAATTTAAAAATGCCAAAGAAAAAAGGGCCTATGGATGTTTACTTCACACCCATTCCTGAATCAGTAGTAAAAAATCGAAGAAACCAAGCAAAAAAGAAGCAAACCAAAATTGATGCGAATGACCCTTACAAAAAAGAAATGAGAGCTCCGGCAGTGCAAAGATTTGCAAGGTGGATGTATGATGCTAGTATCCCTTTTAATGCAGTAAATTATAAGAGTTTTGGACCAATGATTGAAGCCATTGGGCGATATGGTCCCAGAATGAAGCCACCTACTTACCATGAAGTGCGGGTTACCCAACGCAAAAAAAAAGGTGAAACATACTGAAGATTTGATGAAGAATCATAAAGAAGATTGTGCAAAATACGGGTGTTCCATAATGGCTGATGGCTGGACTGACAAGAGAGGAAAGACATTGATTAACTTTTTAGTTAATTGTCCAAGAGAAACCATGTTTGTTGAGTCGGTTGATGCTTCCAGCTATTCAAAGGATAGGCAGAAGCTATTTGAATTACTAGACAAGTTTGTGGAGAAAGTTGGAAAAGAGAATGTGGTGCAAGTTATCACTGATAGTGCTGCAGCTAATGTGTTGGCGGGTAAGAATATTTCCTCCTTCCTTACATCAAAATTTTTTACTCGTAGTCTGTTTTGTATTTAAAATTTAAAAACTTAAAAATAATAATTTTTCGTAATTGTTACATTATAGGGAGGTTTTTGGAAGCCAAGTATGAACACTTGTATTGGACACCATGTGCTGCTCATTGCTTGGACTTGATGATAGAAGACATTTTCAAGATACCTCAGTGTTTTTTAAGGCGAAAAGCGAACCGAGGCGACAAGGTCACCTAACGCCTAAGCGCGAGGCGACGAGGCGAGGCGAGGGCTTCATCGAAGCGAGGCGACCAGAAATGATATTTTTTTTAAATAAATGGTATAGACAAAAATATAAATATTTTCAAGAACCAGGAAATTGAATTAAAATAATTAATTGAATAATCAGGAAATTAAAATAACTAGGAAATTAATTGAATTAAATAAATTGAATTAAAATAAACAAATTAATTGAATTAATTGAATTAAACAAATTAATTGAATTAAAATAATTAATTAAATAACCAGGAAATTAAAATAACTAGGAAATTAATTGAATTAAATTAATTGAATTAAAATAAACAAATTAATTGAATTAATTGAATTAAAATAATTAATTGAATAACAGGAAATTAAAATAATCAGGAAATTAATTGAATTAATTGAAATTTTAACACAGAAGAAAAAAAATAATTGAATTAATTGAAAAAAAAAATTAATTTCAAAATAATTGAATTAATTTTAAAAATTAATTTTTGCGAATTAAAAATTAATTTTTTAAAAAAATGGATTAATTCGAAGTCGAACAGTGTTCGACAGTGCTCTTCTTCTTCAAGTCGAAGTCGAACAAAGAACAGACGAAGTCGAACAGGTCCGACAGTGAACAAAGGAGAAAGGAAGAAGAAGAAGAAGAAGAAAGGAAGAAGGAAGAAGCAGACCCAGGCGATCGACTTCGGCAGAAGAAGACCAGAAGAAGACCAGATGCTGCGATTCGATTTCGGCAGACGATGCACTCCACCAAGTCGATCTAGGGTTTGGCTTCTTATTTCATAATCAACTTTGTCGATCAAGGGCCCAGATGATCGATCAAGGGCCCAGATGTTTCGCACTTAAATCAGGCAGAAATACGATGAAGCGTCGCTTCTTTCCGCCTCACGCTTCATCGCCTAAGCCTCGCTTCAGGCGCTTCTGAGTCGCCTCACCATTTCGCCTCGCCTCAACACGCATGAAGCGCTGAAGGCTTGCCTCGCCTCGCTTAGCGCTTAGGCGAGCCTCTGATAACACTGAGATACCTAGACTAAAAAAGACATTTGAAAGGGGTATTGCAGTCTTTGCAGTACATGGCTGCATTTACAATCGGCCTACGTTGCTAAACATGATGAGGCGCTATACAAATCTGAAGAATTTGATCAACCCTACAAAAACTAGATTTGCAACCGCCTTTCTGACTTTGTCTAGGATGCATCA